TCCTATATAACATCAAAAACTGGGTACATCGATGTCGTGCAATGGTTCGAAAACTTGTCTCGATCTATCACTTACGGGTGAATAGTGAGTTCGATGCGCCTTGGGTACCCCAAAATGTCAATCCGCGCAACATCGAAGTTACGGTAAGAAAATCCTCATAATCTCTTACTTTTAAGGCTCATGCAACAGCCTTCTTCAGTAACTCTACCTTGAGTGGCTCTCAGACCTTATATTAGGATGATATTAGTAAAAAAAAAAACATCAGAGTATTTATTTTTATTATTTCTTTGGAACGGTATTTTGTTTACGACCGTAGATCATAGATTGATAATGTTCTGCATCAAGTCGTACGACCACAAGCAGACAACAGCTTCCGTAGAATTAGGCCGTGTTCACGGTGCCAGACACCACAATTCTTTTCTTGTTCCTTTAAGTTCCTCCCAGACAGCTTCCTCCTGTTACTTCGTGGTGCAAACTCCTGATAGAATGCCACCCTGGTAATTGATCTCTTTACGTTCAAGCTAAACAGATATTTATGTGTCCTACTCGTTCTCATCTTTCTCTTAATCTTCTTCCCCCCTCGCTTACAGTCTCATTTAGTAACCATCTACCTTGAATAGTCTTTAGGCTTTGTATTGGGATAACTATCAGTAAATAAAAGAAAATGTAGAGCCAAGCAGCGTAGACTTTCAAAGCAAGGGGGTTACTCGGCTTTATTTCGATTTTCTTAATGTAGGACTTTAGCTTCGGTGGTAGAGACCCCGAACGCCTCACCGATAATTGCGACATCATTATTATTATTATTACCATTATTTATTCTTTTGTTCAGTACATTTACTTACCGGCCTATAACAAAGGACAAAAGAGTAAATACTATGGTGGACGTAAAAGTTCATAGACTGACTCTGAAGGAGTGAACTTATTAATAATTGCATTATTTATTTCCAGGTAAGCTGTCATCTGACTGTTCAATGAAGACTTCAAATTTGACTAGTAACGACTGCTCTTGAAAATGAACAAAATTTGAAATCCTGGGATATCTATTTGGAATACTTATAGAAAAAGGTTTAGACCCCAGGGACATTCATATTGACTATATTAGGAGATAATACCTCCGCTTTTTAAAAAGTGCAAAAATGGGCAGCTAAATGTTGGATATTCAGTCACCATCTACCTTGAATAGCCTTTAGGTTTTGTATTTGGATAACTATCCATAAATAAAAAAAAAGAAATTGTAGAGCAAAGCAACGTAGACTTCTGAAGCGATGGGTTACTCGGCTTTATTCCGGTTTTCTTAATGTAGGACTTTAGCTTCGGTGGTTACTATATTAGGAGGCCCTAGGTTTATAAAACGTGCAAAAATGTGTAGCTAAATTTAAGAGGGGAAAGGAGAGTTTTGAAGATGACCCAAAGTTTGGACGTTCTGCGACTACCACCATTGAGAACAATAATAATCATGTCCACGATATGGTTATCGATGACAGACGATTGACTATAAAACAATTAGCCAATGCTATGAGTTGTTCCCCGTTTTTCTGTGTATTCTTTCCCCTCAGACATGCGTCTTTACTCTTGTTCTCAATCCTCTGTAAGCCCTTGTGTGCTAGTGTCACTCCCGCCTTGCTTGGGGTGAATTGCTTTAAAAATACAAGAGGTGTAAAAATAACAGAAAAAGCTCGAGAAAAAAACGTATGACAAAGGAAAAGAAACTTCTAAACAAGGCGAAAGATCCTCTTGAACAAGGGAAAATGTGTTTTTTCTCTGTCGAAGGGAATTTTTGTCAGGATCAATTGCACAACAACCGCACCAACAGATGGCTTGCCTACAATCCATATGATATTCCTCGTGTTATGAAGGCCAAGTTTCCCTAAACTGTGATGATTTTTGGTTGTGTCTCCAATGAGGGTGATGTCTTGCCACATCACATCTTTGAACAGGGTCTCAATGGTGGAGTAATGGAAAACGGCTCGGCTTAAAGAATGGGATCGATCCGATTACATTCACTTATGTCTTAATAATCTTGGGAAAGGTATAAATCCTCTTCTTCTCTCCCCAACTATGGGTAAATAGCAGGACAGATCAAGTTCTATATGGATGGTAACTGGTCTACCGCAGAAAGAAATGGCAATCTACTGCAGGAAAAATTTGCATCGTAAGTCGTGTATCGGAAGATACATGATCACCTAAGCGTGTATCACGCATGGCACATAGCTGATATGGAATTGCTGAACATCGTGATCAAATCTTGGTTGAAGAGCGTGGCTGTTGGAAGACAATGTATGGCAGCAAGAAGAGTCAGAAGTGGTTGTCAGATAATTTTTCACCATCCCCAAACGTCTGCCCCCTAACTCCCCGATTGTAATCCCATCGATAATTATGTGCGTGGCATGGTTAACAAAGATAACCAACTGCATTGCCTATAACACCAAGGCCCAGCCGATTGACAAGATTAAGGAGGCTTTTGAGGCTATCACAAGGGAGACTGTGAAGGCCGCATGTTTCAGATTTCGTAATCAGATCTTAGATGTTGAGGGCAGCTTCTTTGAGGGAATCATCACCTAATTATTATGGCCTCTATGCCACGTTTCTATTTTCTCAATAAATTGATTTGGGACTGAGATATTCACTCGGTTTCCTTTCAAAAAAAAATCTGTCAAATTTAATCCAAACACCCTGTATATTAAAGGTTCATATCTGAATCAATTATTTACATTATTCGGACTATTGTCCTCATCTTTGTCGCCATATTTGTTACAACGTTTCGGCCGTTGTACGCTCCGACCTTTTACAGGTGGTTGGAATGTCCTGTCACTGGATCTAACTAACGCCTTTATCCACTGTGCCATGTGTCCTTGAGGACACAAAGAGTGTGAGTTCAATAACCAGTTAAGGCAGTGGAGAACTTCCAGAGGGAAATTAACAAGGAGATAACTGATAACTGACATCCATTAAACATGGCACGTGGAACTAGAACAGTCTACCCCAGTGAGCAAAATAAAGGGTTAAGTTCGGCATTCGATCCACCTGAAGAAAGCCGGAGCGTATAACGGTCGAAACGTTATAATAAATATAGTGACAATGTTAAGGACAATAGTCCGAATAATGTAAATAATGTACATAATACCTCATCTCAGAAATATAGACAGAGTCTGAATTAATGTTTTGAGTATATTTAAGCGATGTTTAGTTTTGCTAAATGCTCTGAATACGAAAGTGTTGCTTATTGTAGATTGTTACAAACATTAAATCGGCACAAAACCTTTGTCTTTTGTCCTAATGTTATTTTTCTCTATTCTTTACTCTACAGTAACAGGGTTTTGAAAATAACATCAGGGATTGATGAAACTGGTGGCATTCAGTGGGAATTAGCTGTGTGCTTGTTTATTTCCTGGACAATTATCTTTCTCGTGTTAATTCGAGGAATCCAATCCATGGGAAAGGTAGGTATGAAAATATATATATATATATATATATACATTGTTGATTGAATTAACATTTGGTCACTTGTTTTCTTTATTCAAAATTCGGACAGAACTTATGGGATGACCTGATATATATTGTGTATTTAGGCAGCAGTCCTTTTTTCATGCACATTTCATTGAAAACGACAGACAAGGTGCTTTTATCTAGGTTTTTATACAATTTCTCATGCGATCTAATATTTTTTTCCTTTACGGATGATAAATTATGTACAAACTGTCCGAATGTTCTTTTTATCCGAGCGCTTTCGGCTATACATTTAACCATTTTTTTGTATAAAAATCAGATGAACGAAAATTATAAACAGGATGAATGCAGAATTAAGAACATTATAAAAAATGCATAACATCAGTTGAAAATAGCAAAAAAATTAGATTAATTATTTATTACAAAAAATTTAAAACTTCTAACCTTATATTTAAAAATAATAATTCACCTCCTACAACAAAACTAAATAGGGAAATATTATTTACGAATTTAAATGCCCATTAAGGAATTGTATTCCTGATAATCAAAATTCGTAAAAAATATATAGTCCACATTACAACATGTTTGACACGCAGACTCACGCTACACCTTTCTGACCATAGTTCAATTAGATCTCATTTAAATATTCATGGATACCTACCGGACACTATTCGTAACATACTTGTTGACAACACTAACATAATAGCATCATCTACAAGCAAAAAATACTAAAAATAATGGAAGCCTTAATAATAAAAAAAACAAAAAAACAGACCCACACTTAATAATAATAACTTTGAACATGGACATAATATCTTGACCGTGTTTTGAAAAATGAAAACATTCTATAAAACATACGTACAACGAACTATTTCTTATTTAACAGTTAAAATATTTAATCCTTGAAAATGGGTAAATGTATAGCCGAAAGCGCTCGGATAAAAAACACAGTCGGACAGTTTTTATATAATTTATCATCCGAAAAGAAAAAAAAAAGTAGATCGCACGAGAAATTGTATAAAAAACTAAATAAAAGCACCTTGTCTGTCGTATTCAATATATATATATATATATATATATATATATATATATATATATATATATATTATTTTTGTGTTCAGCTTATTTCGCTTAAGTTTACTTTGGCCATTATCAACACGTTCGTTCACTGCATTAATTACTTCTCTTTTTTTCTAAAAGGTCCTTTTTTTCCCTTTTCTTTCTCTTCTATGAAACTTCCATTTCTTTCTTTCTTTCTTTAAAACTTATATTCCTTTCCTAATTTTCTCTTCTTGCATAAAACTTCTTTTTTGTTCCTGTTTTCCTTTCTTTAAAGCGTCATTCCTATTCTTCCCGCCTTTTTACATTTATTTCTTTCTGCCTGTTCTATAAAAATTAATTTTTTCTTCCTCGCCTTCTATAAAAGCTTATTTAATTTTCACTCATTCTTTCTCTATTTCTATAAAACGTGTTTTCTTTCCTTTTATTCAATAAAACTTTCTTCCTTTCGTTATTTCATTTCAATAAAAACGTTTATCTTTCTTTTCTCCTAGAAAAATTCTTTCCTTTTCTTTCTTACTCTTTGTAAAAATATTACTTTTTCAATGTTTGTTCCTTTCTTCCTTTCCTTCCTTCTTTCTTTCTTCAAAACCTTCCTCTTTTTCTTTTCTTTCTTTCTATTTCATTTTCTATCTGTTCTTCTTTTTCTTTCTTTCTCTTGTCTTTGTTTATTCTTCCTTTCTCTTTTGTTAGAATTACCCTAAGATTTAAATTCTGAATTAACGTTTTATAATGTCTTCTTTTCTGTTCTCTTTTTCACGAATAGTTTCCATTATTTCATTTGATTCTCCTTTCGGTTTAAATATATTTTAACTATATTACTTATACCACACTTTCATCAGAACAGAATAACGAATACATATGTAAATGCCGGCATCGACATAAAATTTAATTGGGATTTTTATTACAACATTTATATAATACTCATTATTGCAATGGTCGTCATTCACACGTTTCCTTTCAGAATAACGAATAACGATAAAAATAAATAATTAAAAAAAAAATCTTTATTTCTACAATTAAAGCAATTTAAAACAAATATATTCAAATCCACTTTTTACGAGTTTCCCATTAGAAAACATTTTACTTTTTTCAGGCATTGAATTTAAATGATTTTCTATCCCTTTTGTGTGATCCCCAATTAGGATCCATTCAAACACGAAACAAATCCTCTGAACGTTTCTCTTAGAATTTTTTTCTTATTCCAAGATCCAAAGTAACGCTAATATATACAATAGGATTCACATCAGATTTCCTTTACCACGAAACCTCATTATTTCTGGGATCTGTCAGACATTTTTTTTTTTATATGACAGAAGGATCTGTTCTTCTCCACCCACAAAATAAGAGAATAGCCTCGGACGTTCAGGCCGGTAAATGGTATTAATGCTGTTTATTATAAACAGAGAATTCACTTAAATATTTGTATCTACAAAAAATAACGTATAAACAGAATATATATTAAAACAATTGTCGGACTTAGTCCATTTCATAATATATGACATCATTTGTTTACATTAAGATACGCTTCGAGCGGATATGAGCGTTCGAGTGAAATTATGGAAAATTTGTAGTTTAGTTTATATATATAGGCAGTAATCCTTTCTTTACACAAGTTTTATTGAATGTAACAGACAAGATAAATTTTATAAAAAAAATTATTCAGTTTTCCAAGTGTCCTTACGGTTTGTTATGGTGAATAATACGATATAGAAACCGCCTGTTGTGATTATTGTCTCAAGCGCTTTAAGTTAATTCATTATCCATTTAAACTGTTTTGTTGATACAATATGTACAAAAACGCGCCGTCGCCTCTGTCTGTCTTTTTTTACAAATACTTTCATGGAAATTGCTCCGACGAGCTGCTTGCGCTGGTTCCCAGACTTCATGAATTCAAGCGCCCTACGAGACTGGCATCCCGCTCTCACCCTTCCACTGTTGAAACTGTTAAATATAGCCGCCTATTCTACAACAATAGCTTCATATCTCGCACCTCTCGCCCGTGGAACTCCCTTCCCTATTCCTGCTTCCCTGATAGCTATAAGCTCCAACTATTCAAATGTAATGTCAATCGACATCTCCACTTGCCTTGATCTATCCACTATCCTTCTCCTCATCCTTTCTTCTATCACTCCTATCCGTTCTCGCTCCAAATCTTCTGCAACCCCTTGCGTGCTATTGGCTTCCCGCCTTGCTTGGGGTGAAACGCTTAAATAAAAAATAAATAAATATCAGTTTTAATCAATACATAATAGTAATTCGATGTCAATTTTCATTCATACATTAGTTCCAAAGCAACTAATGCTGAGCATCGGCCCGAAACTATTTATAAAACTGCTTCCATTGCCTTCAAGAATTTTAAACAATTAGATGTTTTTAAAATGACTATTATCTACAAGTATATCTTTTTATGGGAGCAGAGAGTTGAGTATCAGTATTTAAGTGCTTTCTTATCGAACTAAGATCTTACAAGTCGGTAATCAGTTGCCAACTTAAAGAAAATGGCTAATGAATTAGTCGAACGTACTTGGGACAATAATTACCGCGGACAGTTTCTATATATTCTGAGTTCTACCCTTGTTCATCACATTCAGGGAAATACATATATATATTTCGAGGACGCGGCCTCGTTATCCGAGCACGCAGCAGCAGGGTTTATCAGTTTCCCGTCACGTTGTGGGGGTACCAAGTGGAAGCAGGTGTAGTCTCTACCCCAAATCTTGAAAAACATTTCCTTTGTTATCAACCGAAAATCAGTCAAATATATCAAAGTAGGAGTGGAAATGACACACTAGACGTCTGTGCACAACTGGATAGATCTTAATCGCCAAGCGAAATGTCTAAGCATTCTACATAGACCAAAACAGATCCATTTGTTTTTACCGATTCAGTTCAGTTAGACCAAAGACCTGACAAATTATCACTGTCAATATTATTGTTTATTTTTCTTTTTTAGGTTGTGTATTTTACGTCCATATTTCCGTACATTCTCCTGACAGCGCTTGTGATTCGAGGAATTTCCTTGGAGGGGGCCATGAACGGAATCTATTTTTACTTAAAACCGGATATTTCCAAACTTTCAGATCCAAATGTAAGTTTCTCATAAAATTGTTCCAGCCTTATTGTCCGAATTTCTGGGATTGTTTACACTATTTATATTTTATTGTCCTCGTCTTTGTTCACAATATCTGCCGTTGACGGTATATCGCTCCAGGTAACCTACAGGGAATTCTGAGCCGAACCCTTTATTTAATTTACGAGGGCTGGACTGTTCTCGTTCTACTGATCATGGATATGGATATCTTGTCTTGTTCTTACTTTTATTTATAGCTGTTCAGTTATTACTTACCCGTTTCCATTGAGAGCAATTAAATACTGTCCAACCAAGGGACTGAACCGAAATTCACAAACCAACCCTTTTTGTCCCGTACTGAACTTAGAGTCTTAAACCTGACCTGGCTGCTGATTAGGTTGCAATTGCTTCTTCTTTTTTTTTTTTTTTTTGACTTTTGCTGCTACTCATGATTTGATTGATGTGGTGGTTGAAAACTAGTGATTAGACTTCCTTTCTTTCTTACCGGCTCCTATATAGACAGAAAGCATCATTGGTGTAATTTAATATTTTTTTAGTGTACTAGTACTACTAATATTAATAATAATATGCATGTTTCTGAAATTGAAAGAGGTTTTTGCAAGGTCAATATTTTTTAGCTGTCTAAACCAGAATTTTATTCATAGAAGGAATAAAAAAGAGGAAAAATTTGGGAAAAACGTGTAGAATTGTTGTCGTCTCCTTATATTTTTAACATACGAAACATCCTGGGTATCACGATAAACTACATCCGCGTCCTGGGTATGACGATAAACTACGTCCAACAGCAAGGCCTCTGATAATACGATTTTGAAAAAATAATGTTGCCAGCTGTACGTTTTTGAAAAAAAATAATATTACCAGCTATACGTTTTTGAAAAAAAATATTGCCAGCTATATGTTTTTGAAAAAAAATATTGCCAGCTATATGTTTTTGAAAAAAAATATTGCCAGCTATATGTTTTTGAAAAAATAATATTACCTGTTATACGTTTTTGAAAAAATAATATTACCAGAAGTATATTTTCGAGAAAAAAATATTAACAAAATGGATTTTTTACAAAACAAAAATAATATCAGGAAAGAAAAAAGTTGTCGAAATTAAATGACCCATTGAGGTTGATTTGTCGTAAAACAAAACAAACAAACAAACATAAAATACGAATATATTTAAATACAAATATATAATAATAATTAAATTATTTTTTTTTGTTATTTTCTTGCATTTGGCAGGTTTGGAAAGATGCTGCTGTCCAGATTCTTTTTTCATTATGTGCCTGCAGCGGGGGACTTATAGCCATGTCAAGTTACAATCACTTCAATCACAACACACTCAGGTACGTGAAAGAACGAAAAGGTCGTTTTATGCAGGTTTCTGTAAGGTGTGGGGTTGGCCGATCAATGAGTCCACATGCTGAAAGAGTTACATGAATTTTGATCGGGACATTTCTACGAAATTAATGGAGAAAATATGCAGGGAAGAAGAAAATATGAGAATAAATAGATATGTAAATAAATAGAAAAGCAGAAACAAATTTTTGACGACAACAGGAATATACACATGGTGTAAAAAGAGGGGGAAGGTGAAATAAATAAACAAACAAATAAAGAAAGAAAGAAAGAAAGAACGAAGGAAAGAAAGATGTTATGGTCTCAGTTCGATTAGAAAGGGAAATAAACAAATAAGAACAGAAAGAAAGAAAGAAAAAGAAAGAAAGAAAAAAGAAAGAGAAACGAAAAAGCCAATAAATATATAAGGAATGAAAACAGAAAAAATTATCAGCGATAATAAGTATATTAATGTGGTCTCAAAATAAGAAGGAAGGTGAATGAAAGAAAAGAAAGAGAAAAAGAAAGAAAGAAAAATTGTAAAGAGTAGTGAAAAAGAAAGAGAGAAATGATTAACAATTTCAAATTCATACATCCAAGATTTGACTTAAATTCCTACATTCGCTATACAGGATGCAAAGTGAATTTAAAAGAAAAAATAGACTTAATTAATTAAAAATCATGGTAACATTATGAGTGACGTTAAAGAAAAAAAGTTATAAAATGTTGGATATCACACCTGGTTCACTTCCGAAACACCAGTATTCTGGGGTTTGTATTTCTTTTTATCCTGATTTAGGGAATTGGATTTAATCGATTATTTTTCAGCACCTCCTCATACGTTTTTATTGCAATTACCAAACTGACGTCATTGCTGAAGGATCTATTACCGTCGCATTTTCCAGATCGTCTCCTTCATCCTTCTGTCGATTTAAGGTAAGTTGCGCATTTTAACGACGTGGCATTGGTTATTTGCTTCTTTGAGTTCTTGGCGAACAGTCAATGAATTATCCCCGAAGGCTACACAATGTAAGACTTCGCCGAGTTAAAGTTATCTGCCGCTTTCTTTCGATGAATTTATCAGTTTCAATAAAAATGGATTCTCAAGATTACACAAGATGAAAATAAACAGGCCTACAACAAATTGAGATCCCTTGGCAAAGGGTTCAGAGATCTTTAGTTCGCGATTTTCAATAACCCATGCCAACGGAGTTTGATAATAAAACCTGTTTTTTTTATTACCAAGCAAGACCAAATAAACGAACTACCAATATTTTTAATTGATTTATCCACCTGGAACCTACACGAAATCAAACATTGATTCAAACTAGTGCAGAAGTTATTAAATGTTTGTTGATATGTTTAATTTCTCACATATCTCATTAATCCGTCAGTCAGTTAAGTATCATACACGATACACGATTTTAGATTCATGATTGACTTGGCAGAAGAATTCCAAAAGTAGACTGCCGTTTCTTTCTGCAGTATACTGATTGCCAACTAAGTCTATGGGACACAGGTTGTACTACTATTTAACCCATAGCTTGGGGGAGAAGAGTTGAATTCATTCCCTTTCTAAGGCTATTTGCACGTAAGTGAATGTAATGAACTTCGTACTCTTGCTTGCTAAATTAGGGAAAATTCGAATAAACTATGGGATTTTAATAAATAAGAAAATGTGATAAATGGGGGGGTGTTAATGAAAGAAACGTTAAGAGAAACTTTATTTTTATGCTTGCAATATAAGGGCTTGAGTGTGATTCGATCTCGTGGAAGTGGCATGCTCTGTTGTAGCTGTGCAAACAGCGATCGAATAGCAACGTCCTGTCTTTGAAGAAGACCTTGCAAAGTAGAACAAAGTCTGTCCATCTACCACCACCAAATACCACGCGAAAGATTTTGAACTGAAATCCGGAAAGATGGGATTGTGTAACTACGGCACAGATATAATTGCAAGATTCCGTTTTTGATCCAGTTTGAATCTTATAAAAGACAAGAGCCTGTTAATTTATGAAACGATGGAAAGATCCGACCATTTTCCCAGCATCTTTGGCAATGGATCGTATATATTGTTAAATAATAGTTTCAGACTATTATTTTTATTGACAGTGTATTTTGGCTCAGACAATTCTGAGGCTAACATTTAAGGGCAGTTGGTAGACAAAACAGAGAAGTCGATTTTGATTGGTTGAGCCGAACGTGGGAATGATTTATAGATTAAGGTTTCCGGAGCAGTTGCTGTTTAGACGGGAAGCTAACTAGATGTATAAGATTGCGTTTGGGCACCAACTAGTAGGGAAGGGTCTTTCAAGAGTTGATTGTTACACGTCAAAGAAATGGACGTGTGAGATTTTCGTATTTCAAAGCGCCTCCCTAAATAGGTGGGGGCGTTGCAATAACACTCACTTGATAAAAAATGAACCCGTCGATATGGCTAATAAAATAATAGTCAAGTTGAAAGTTCTCTTTTTTGATCAATTTCGTCTCTGAAACTAAAAAAACATTTCGCGACACCGACCAAGAGAAGAAGAGGATTGAACTAAAACGACCAGCAATCACCGGCCAGACGAGATGAGACTAACCAAAACTGCCCCAATGTAGGGTATACAACATGTCTATTTGGCGCAGTGACTAAGAGACCCCTAAATCGAGGGGACTATACAGCATTATTAGCTCGACATTTTAGTATAGGCGATAAGGAAATTGAACATAGAATAGGCTGTGTTAACCAACATCACAAATAGTTTAAAAAAAAAAAAAACAAATTCGTGTCATATTCTTCAATAACGTCGTTAGATTGAGGCTTACATATGGATTTCATATGGGATGTCACATATGTCACCAAACATACTCAGAAATATCGAAACAGTCATTTGTCTACAACCCCTTTCTATGATCAATGGTTAAAATTGTTTTGAGCAAGTGAAGCCTTTGGATCTTGAGCTACTGATTGTGGACTGGCCCTACAGTATCACAAAGAACTGTACCAAATAACAGAAACGTTATCACACAGCTAAAATGGATATCACATGTAAATTGAAGAGAAAATAATGACGTTGACATACCAAGCTACTTAAAATAAAAGGTTACGAAGAAAACCCCAATCAATACTGGAAAGAGCAATAACAGTTACTGAACTCGAGAAACCTATTTTCCTGAAAAATTTTTTTTTTAAATTTTTAGCACTCTGTAGATAACTATTTTCGCCAAGCAAAATGTTAGTCCTGCCAATGCAAGTTGAATTTGAATTTCTTTGTTGTGTAGTTATATCCTTCTATGGCAACACCGAAAATAATGTTGACTGAAATTGAGTGCCAGACTACGGCAATTTCAAATATATAGAACTAATATATAAAAGACTATATTTCGATGGGATTCCATATACAGAAAAAGAGTAATATTTATAAATGATGCAGATAGCTGAATGTTAAGAGAAGAAAATATAAATTTTAACCGACAGCAGCACTGAATCCTCAATCAATAATTAGGGAATGTTTCCTTATAAGGAAATAGTTAATATTACCGTTACTGATTGCGGATGATAAACTGATACGTGCTTTGTTTTTGAGGCCAA